GAGTTTGATTGGTGGGTTCTGGTTGTGTCGATGAAGGACTCACGGTGGCTTCAGAGGGAGCGTCATTTCCGGTGGATGGTGCGGCGGTCAGGGGATGCAGTTGAGATCTTGAATTTAGGTTGTCGGATGGGTCGTTAGGGTTGAAGGATAAGTCGATGAAGACGCCTAGTATGAAGAGAGAGTTTATGTTTGTTATGGCGTCTAAGGCTATGCTTGTGAATGATGATGATACACAACTAGTGACCGATCCAATCCCTGAAATCAGCATACCGACACGAAGAACAGATCTGTTAACATGAGCTATAGCAGAGGAAGTGCGGGAGAGACAGATAGCTTATTTGAGTGCGAGAGCGACGAGATTGAAGAAGATTGTTGTGATGCTTGCGGAGATTTACGCCAGAGAGATTAAGGGTGGTGGCTGGTTGTTGTCGTCGTGGTTGACAATGTCGAAGGTGGTTGGTTTGCATACAGTAAGAACGGCAGCAATGTTGGCCGATATTTGCGCGTGATAGAGCCGATTGGGTGTTGTTTCAATCAGAGCGATACGGACAATCTACGATCTCTCTCTCACTTTTCCTTATTCTTGTAAAACAAACCCAACAAACACACAAAACAAATAATGATGGTTTGAGTCCTGAATTGATGAAGATTGTTTCTATTGTAACACAGCAAGCGTAAAAATGGTTACTTGACGAAAACTGAGAATAATTGCTATACACTGTGTGTAATTGGTATTATGGTAGTTTACAAATAGGTGTGAAATTGAGTTATGCGATATACAAATAAAGAAACAACTGAAAATATTTACATGGAAGTAAGTTTCTGTATGCGTGAAAATACGCGTGTGAAAAAGAGATGGTGCAAAGATAGGTATCTTGAGTGAGTCGAAGGAAGGTGAATTGTTAGTGAGTGTAATGTGTAATATAATTTTAAAAAAACTTATACCGTCAGATGTCTATTGTATGGTTTAAAAAATAATTAAAATTGGAGGCCTCATATGAAATTATCGACCAAAATCAAAAGATCCAATAATATTGAAAAGAAAAAAGAAATTTGCAAAAATATAGTGTATATGAGTGAGTGAAATTGTGAGAGATTGTGAAATTGTTGATTTGTTGATGATTGTGTGACTAAATGAATGAAAAGCCTAAAGCACAAACTTCAAAAAAGAAAAGAAAATTAGTGAAAAAAAGGAATAGAAAAATATTTAAAAGTGCACCACAAGAATCAAACTCGTGATCTTATACTTGCAAGCTCATTCTTTACCAATTGTGTTATGTTACTCATTTGTAAATAAACTCAATTGAAAGTATATGAAAGATACGCAACTATTTTCTATTTTAAAACTACAAATAATTTGAAATAAATTATTATATTTTTAATTGGACTTGAGAACGAATATTTATAAAACCCCAAAATATTAATGTAAATCAAAAGAATTTTATAAAAATACAAGTTTGAAATTAATTTTGACTGTAGCGCCAAAGCGGACAAATTTGGGGTATATAACACATAGCATCAAGATCAAGAATTACACAACATTAATCAATGTTCATCACAATTCAATAACAAATCAAAGAACAAAACCCTATATATAGAATTTTCTCATATCATTCATAATTGAGAACCATTACCAACCCTTACCTTGTTATTATAACAACTTTGATTCTTAAGCTCTAAGGGTTGGATTTCTCTTGGTTCCTTGTGCCCTAGCCTCTCTCTTTCACGATCTCTCTATCTCTTTTCACGTACGTTGCAAAAGTGATCTCACTTTTCCCTTATTCTCTTTTTATTCGGTAACCTTAGATCCTTTCTATGTTATTCCTCATATACCCTCACTTATCCTCATACAATTACCATCATGCCCCCTAAATCTCTACACACTTAGTTATTTTATTTTATTTTATTTTATTATTTGCTTAATAAACCACATAACTATTTATTATTAATTCTAAATAATCTTTAACTCTCACTTATAATCCCACCAATATTCTAACACACACAAAAACATAATTCACAAATAATTATAATAGCAACCAATTCTAGATTTGAGGTGTTATAGCCCTCACCCTATGAGGACTCTAAAGAAGAAATAACGTTTCAAAATTTCTTCAAGAGAAGGATCAACAAGTACCCTATCCAGGGAGAATTTTAAAAACAATTGGGTATGTGCACTTATGACGAGACAACAGACCTTGATGAGCACATGAAACTAGTTAACATCCTTCTTAATTTTCTAGGAGCAAGGGGCCCGTATGAATGCAAGTTATTTGTCCTCACTCTAAATACTGGAGCCATGCCCTGGTTTAAAGGAATGAGGAACAAGTCTACCAAATCACAGTATGAACTCCATAAAGACTTTTCTAAGCATTTTATGGTCTATCAGAGGCAACCCAAGTATGCAGAAAGCTTGGGGTCTATCATATATAGAAAGATTAGAGATAGAATCACTAATGATAAAAAGTGTCGAGGAAGGGAAGATATGAAAAAATACCTTGAGCTCTAGTCGGGATCCAAGTTTGTCGATAACATTGGCACCATATTTCCAAAAACCTTCAAAAGTCCACTAGTCGTGTATATATAATGAAGACAAGCTAGCAGCCAACATGGAAATTTATGGAGGAAGATTCTATAAGGGAGAAACAAGTAAAAGAGAAAATGAGGAGACCTAACAATGGGCCTAGAAAATAAGAAATATTAGAAAAGAAACCCATATTATCAGAGAAAGTAAATGAGTACTACCATCAAGGTTTATTGACTACAACCATCTAAATACTTATAAGGAACACATCCTACAAGAATACATTAATGAAGAGTTTTAGGAAGAACAAATCAAATCGCCAAAGTCTATTTAAAAACATCCTGGAATGGATAAATCTTGATATTGTCATTTCCACCTATCCAATGGCAAAAACACCAATGAATGTGTGTAACTAAAGGATGTTAGTGAGGAACTTATTAGAAATGGAAGGTTAACGAAATTTGCTCACCATGACAAGGACAGTTCTAAGGAGAAGAGGGTGGAGGATGACAACCCACCAAGAAAAGTAAGTGAAATAGCGTATATAGTCAAGGAGAGAATAAATGGTTGGTTGCTTACACAGTAGATGGAGGAAACATTCAGTGAATGGGAAAATAGGATCATTCTGATGAATGGTGAAGATGGTCCATACCAGCCGTGAGAGACAATCCCCCATCAATAAGAAGACAATCCCCGAGGAAGAAATGATGAAATTGATTGAGTGAACCAACCCTCTATAGACCAAAAAGCAATAAATAGAGTTAGAGTTATTTCAGGTGGTTTCCTTCGGTTGAGAGAGCCTCCTGGAATTCCATAAAGAGGAAATTGAGGGAAATGATGTTGCAAGACTAGAAGCTACCTAAGGAGCTATAAAAATAAGGAAGATCACATATCTCTTTCAATGATAAATAATTGGTCAACAGGGTCCAAAATCTCACGTTTTGTTGTTGATAAGAGTCGTCATAACAAACTTTTGTAATGCAACATTGACGTCAGGGATCAAAATCAACAAGAAAGTGAGATATAGAGAGTCAGTCCTAAAAAAAAAATTTAGGGACTAAAGACAAAAGCACACTAACTTACAGAGACCGGAAGACTATTTAAGCCTAATAAAAATAAAACTTGTCATTTATTATGCACTTATAAAAATTGCATAAAAACAAATTCACTTCTATCTACATATAAAATTAAAATTATATAATTTTATCATATAAATATCTTTTATTTATTAAAATAATAAAAAAGAAAATTTGATGATAAAATATAATAAAATTAAAAACTATGAAGAAATAAAAATGTTTAAACAAATAAAAACTGAGAGGGAATTAATAACTTAATAAAGAGGAATAAAAAGAGAGAAAAATTAGTGACCAAAATTTTGATTGCTAATTTTTTTTATAAATTAAATTTTAAATTAAAAAAAAAAATTTGAGACTAAATTTTTGATCACAAAATTTCAGTCGTTATATCGGTAGTTAATTTTATTTTATGACCGATTTAAAGACACTTAAATATTATTCATGAATATCAAATTTTAGTGATTAATTTAATGGCTAAAATGATCAAGATTTTTCTATTATTAAATTAATCACTAAAAATGAATTATCTAATAGTGTTTACCCAATGTGAAACACTAATACAAAGCCTAGATAAAAGCAATTATCATTATTTTTAACATTAGATTAAATATTTTTTTTTAAATCATAAATTAAAGATATTTACTTAATTTTATCCTAAAACATTTATAATATATAACTAATGTTTATTTATTTACTTTAGGAATTATAAAATACTTTATAATTTTATTTGATTCAATACATGACAATGTGGTATTGTTAGGCGGATAAGACTTCACAATTGTCGATTATTCAATTGAAGAAAAATATTTGATTTATAAAAATCTTAACTATTTTAAAACTAACTTTGATATTATAAAATAAATTATTCATAAAATATATAAAATTATTATTTAAATTTAGAGAAAAAATATAAATCCACCGTATAAAATAATTTTATATGATCAACAAATCAAAAAAAATTATATATATATATATATATATATATATATATATATATATATATATATATATATATATATATATATATATATATATATATATATATATATATATATATATATATATATATATATATATATATATATATATATAGTCAAATCATTTTTATCTTTTAAAATTACGTTAATAAATGATAAATTAATGAATTTATATTCAGTATTTTACGTAGTGGACTACCTTTATCTCTTAAATTTTTGTTAAATTTATTATTCATTTTAATACTTTATGATATTTACATTTCATTTCTTTTTTTATTATATTATAAAATTTTCCAAATTTATTTAATAATCAACTGTGCTATAAATTGCAGTCAAACAATATTCTCTCTTCTCACTTAACCTTATATAAAATCAGACTCTCATATTCATTTTTTTCACCTAGTTGTAGCCAAATAAAAAAAAATGAATAAGAAACCATTTTTTGAGTTTATTTTGCAGGTGATAAATTTAGTGTTGACTGTGTTGGGTTTAGGAACCCTAGGGTATGGATTTGTTTGCTTCTTCGAGTCGAAACAAAGCATTGCAAATGAAACTCATAGATCTTTGTAAGTTTCTTCACCTTTTTATATATTTCTCCACCTTTTTTTTGTTGTTGTGAATTTATACTATTAAACTTGTTGAATTTATGTTACAATTTAGAAGAATTATATATATACTTTTTCAATGTGCTATAATTTTTGCAGGATTATCTATGTAACAATTGGAGTTGGTGCAATTCTTTTATTTGTCTCTTGTTTGGGTTCTACTGGAACAGCAACAAGGAGCCCATGTTGTTTGATTACTGTATCCTAAAGTATATACATTGAATACTTGATAACTAATATTAAAGTATAGATGAAACAAATTTAAAAAGAATTTATAGAAAAAAACATTTTTATTTAATTATTGAGATGTTTTTGACCAATTTATAGCTGTTTACGAGAGGATTTGACTTGAAATTATAAAACTATATTGATACATTGAACTAACACCTTATGTATGGTAAAATAAACTATTAATATTAATTGTTTACAAATATTATTATTATAGTTTATTTTTTAATATTCACCAAAACTTTTTTATTTTTTTTATTTTTTTATCCTTAATTAAAATATTTCAGTATTGTGTATTCTTGGTACCACTTATCATAGCTGAGTTGGGAATTTCTCTTCTCATATTCTTTGACCACAGCTGGAAAAAGGTAATAACACTTCTATTATATATATATGATCTAGAATTTTAAACTTTACAAATCATGTTGAATTTTCTAAATTTTAAAATCAAATTATTTTATCCTGTAATTTTATAAACTAAATAGTCTGGTCACTCTTCATTTCACTCTTATCTAGTTTTAAATTAATTTTCAAAATGATTATTAACTTTCTATAACATTGCAAAATCTCTATATAGGTTATACTAGATGGTATAAATAAAGATTATTTCACAGTCTATAAGTTTGTGAATCACCATTGGAATGTCATCAAGTGGATAGCTCTTGGAGTCTTTATATTACAGGTAACATGAGATAAAAAAGATCTATTAAAAATATATTTATTCATATTTATATATTAATATAAACAAATTATTAATATTTATTAATCAATAATTTTTTTTTAAATAAAACAAATTTTGTTACATTTTACTATATTAAAATACATATATCTCAATCAAATCAATTTTTTTTGTTACTTTATTCTTTTTTCAGATTATTGCTTTGGTTCTAGCAATATATTTGCAATCCGTATTCAATAGAGCACGATATGATATCACAGACATCGAGCGTGAACGTAGATTATATCGTCATCATCCTAGAAAATATATTTATGATCGTTTGGGTACATCCACGCCCACACGTACGGTCACCCTACCAAAATCGTCTAATGTCGGTGTTGGTGTTCGTGTCAATGGTAGAATTTAGGCAAAACCCTCTGGCTTGCCAAATACCGATGCCAGTGTTGATGCTATATATCCATTAAACTCTTCTAAAGTTGATGTTGTTTAATTTGATGTAGAGTCGTTTGAATTTATATTTTGTTATTGTGAAAGTATATTGATATAAAATTAGTTTGCAACCCAAATAATTTTATTTATTTAATATTTTTTATTTGTTTATTTTAAATTATTGTATGGGTGATTTTAGTAATGAATAAAATGGAGAAGGGAAGAAATTGAGAGGATTTTAACCTGTGGTATGGTGGGTTGATGGAAAAAATTTAGATATTGATCGTTTTTAATTAATTTAGTGCCTTTATTTAATAAAAACTAATCTAGTCCATTAACTTGAGTTAGTTATAATTTCATGGATGTAGTTTGTTGTTATCATTTCTCACATTAAACGTGAGTTGTCTCTATTAATCTAATTTATTAATTTGATTTAGTTATATATGTACATTATACATATTCGTTAACCTTAAGTATCAAATTTAACACACTTTTGTTTTTTTTATGCCTCTATTATAATTTTTTTTTTATGTATTCATAATTAGTATATATCAAAATAGAAAATAAACGGATAATAATAATTTGTGCCGTTATATTTTTTTTTTGAATTAATGGGATATCTATGCATTTGGATATATGATATGGTACACATATTTCACTATAAGAAAAAAGCCTTTTAGTTAGGGATTTAACTCTTCACTAAGTCAAAAAACATTTCAAAAAATCAACATTTGCGAGGGGTTATGTCCTCTAACTAAATCACTAGTCGCAGACAATGGGTGAGGGGCTAAGCACCTAGCTAATTAGCTTGGGGCTAAACCTCTCGCTAAAGGCAAAATTTGATTGTCTATTGGCTAGGGACTTTATCCCTAGCTAAATACCATGCTGCTTTTGACGCAGTGCTCAGTAAACACATGGAGTGTGCAGGAAGGTAGCGTGTAGGAAGGGTGCATAGTACATGCGACATTAGCTAGAGGATTTATCCCAAGCTAAAAACTAAAATTTATTTTTTAAATTATAAACGTAATTATTTAATTTTCTTATTATTATTATATTTATAATCAATGAATTTCATAATTATAATTTAATAAAATAAAAAATTAAATATTAATAATATTAGTAATATATTTTTAAACATAATACATAATATAATTTATAATTAATATTATATTAATAAAATACTGAATTAAAATTAAAATATTACAAGAACATTTTTTATAATTATAAATAAAAAGTGTTATTGATAAAGATTAATTTTCTCCATCTGTGTTACTGTCTTCATTGTCATTTTTCCCTTGATTATCACGCCCCCCAAATTGTTGCATAAACTGTCGAAAAATAAGCATAGATTCCTCATATTCTATAGTTTTTCTTCTCATTTCTTCCTCCATTTCTATTTGTCTCTTCTTCAATTCTTCTATTTCAGCATTTCTCGCTTCCACTTCACGGACAGTCTCAGAGTGCGCTAATGATCTCATAGTTTTCATCATGTCTGGGGTAAGTGAAGGTTGAGTCGATGATCCTTCACCATCAGCAATTTGCATTCTGAAATTCCTATCACGCCGCCGGATTGTTTTGGCGATACCTCCAGCACCATACACTCTCCCATTTTTTCTCTTCCCGCGAGATACATCATACCAAGTCTGAAAACTCAGACTAGGATCAGTGGGAAATCCCGACGGAGGTGGTGTATATTCAGGATATTGTGATAATCTTAGGGCAAGCTATTTTGCATACTCCTCCTATTAAAAAGAGTAGGTGTTATTGCAATTTAAATTATGCTAGACACAAAAGAAATAAATAAAATGACTAAGTTTAAGGAAAACTTACTTGAGTTTTTCTTGAGCGCTCATCAACAAACTCTTCATTTTTCTTGAGACGAGTCTCCTTATGGAGCTCATTAAGAAGCGGAGTTCTGCCCAACTCATCACGCTAAGTAGATGACATAAAAAAATAGTTATAACATAATCTAAAACTGTTGAGTTAATTGAAAAATAATTAAATTTACCATTCTCCGTGCAACATCAGCAATACTAATACTATCATAGGCGTAGTTGCAGCCGCCAACTTCAGAGGCTCTATTTTTCTTGGCCTTTTCAGATGTACTCTAAAGGAATCAGAATTCCAATGGGCAATAAGCTGCTCAAATATATCTGGACTTATCCAACGGGGATGCAAACGTTTATTTTCCCAAGTAATTCTAACACGCCTCATCGTGTCAGAAAATCGTTGAGCACATTTAATGTTAAAATTATCTCTTATTTGGATATCATCTCTAGGGTCCCAACAACATTTCTCCTTCAAAAAATATGAAATAAAGTTATAATCGTGATTGAGTGAATTACTTTAATAAATGTAAAAAAGATCAAAAAGATTAAACAAAGTTGATTATACCTGAAATAACCTAAACCAAGCCTCCCTCTCATCTCCATCAACTACACCATACGTAGGCCAAAATTTGTTAAACTTTTCTTTAATGATCTCAGTTATGCAAGTTGTTGCCTAATGTGATGGGTAAAATCTAAGCAACCAAAATATGAGTTAGTATTAATTATAAACGAACAACTAAAATTTATAATTTAAACATAAACACTTACGATGATCCCTCTGGATGAATGACAAATCGTCCATTCCTCTTCCTAATCACTTGTGGCACATTTCTCAAAATGCGTGCATTCCTATGCTCCTGGTCATCATCATCATCCTTATCCTCATGCGGAGAATGCATGGATGATGAATGTGACGTGCTAGATCCACCACCTGGATCCCTATATTGCATAAATGTTGGATCTATAGTAAGTATGAAGGTGCTAGGTCCAGCCTAGGGCATATAAGATGTATGTCCAGGAGGACTAAGAAAAGATGAGGGGGAAATGTCAGGAAATGTAGAATAAGGTGTGGATAGTAGGTCTGTGAATGTAGAAGGAGAAGGATGCATAGATGGTGGTGTAGGACGTATAGATGGTGGAGTGGGATACATATGTGGTAGAGTAGGATGCATCGATGGTGGAGTAGGACGCATAGATGGTGGAGTGGGATGCATATGTGGTAGAGTAGGATGTATTAATGGTGGAGTAGGATTCATAAGAGGAAGATGTGGTTGTTGACTAAATTGTGACATAGAAATAAGGTTAGTCGTGTTAGGAACCTCTTCTATAGTATACCTCGATCGATTGCGGCGAGGCTTATCTACTGGAGTCTTACCCTTATCTTCACGTCGGAGTGGCATTTTTTTGTCTTAAAAGATGAACATAAAATAATTGATACATCAAACTTACAAGAATAATATATAAAAATTCAGACAAGAATAATATTATTACCCAAGAGTTGTTAGACATGAATAAAATAATATTACACAAATTATATTAAACAAATTATTATGATACAAATTAATAATCATTCATGCTCATCTTCACTACCTTCATCAGATATGTTATTATAGTCTTCAGACTCTCCTAACTCTTCATGCTCCTCTTCCACGGACGTCAATAAAATAGTGGTGTCAATGAAATATATAATGTATAATATATTTTCGGAATAAAAAAATATATAATATATAGACTGTTTTAATATACTATTTAATATAATATAATATATAATATATAATATATTTTTTGAATAAAAAAATATAAAATATATATTGTATTTTCAGAATAACAATTAACTTAATATATAATATATGTAAACTAAATCTAACGTACATAATTATATCAACTAAATCTAATATATACCTAAACCAATTTAATTTACCTAAATATAACATATAATTCAGAAAAAGTTTCAATAAAAAAATAAAATAAATTACATACCTTATAAAAAAGCTTTATTAAACAAAGCTAGTGTTGATGGAGAAAAATATAATAAATACCTACGAATTTAATCCAACAAAAATTAGAATTTATAAATTAATATAGCAATATATATCTTAAATAAAATATAAAAATAATTGTATTACCTTTGAAATAAAAAAGTTAAAGCTTCCAATAGAGTAAAATGTAGGATTAATGGAGGAAAAAAATGAAGGAAAAGAGGAGGTTGAGAGGATTGCAGAGAAGAAGAAGAAGAAGAAGAAATTGGGAGACTGTTTATGAAAGAAATGAAAGAGAAAGAGGAAGATATAATGTGTAAACGATATCAAACTTGACTTGGGGTTAGCTCCTCGCTAGGTGCCAAACGGTACCATAATTAGCTTGGGGCTAGCTCCTCGCTAGCTGACAACAACTGTTGTTACACTACAACACGCAAGCTAGTTCAGAGTCGGTTCAGAGATGTAACAGTGATGTGAAAATGGGCTTGGGGTTAGCCCCTCGCAAATGGTCAACGGTTATTATTTATGGCGAGGTGATGCCCCTTCGCTAAATGTTTTTCCTTTTTCCCATGTGCCACCCCCTCGCAAGCATCCAACGAATTTATTTTCAAACTCCCTCCTAAAACTTAGCTACGGGAAACTCCTAGTTATACCAAAATTTAAATTTTTTTTATGTTATTTAGACAGGGGATAACCCCAAGCTAATGGTAAGTTTAGCTAGGGGCTTAACCCCTAGCCATTTGCCCCAAGCTAAATCAGATTTTTCTTGTAGTGTTTATTTTTTAAAATATAATAAAAATGAAATAAATAATTAAATTATTCAATCATATAAAAATATTTGAATCAATATATACATATATATAAATATTCTTTTTATTTTGTTATTACTTACAAAAATATTAGAATCAATAGTAAAAAAAATTCCATTATTATTCAATAGTTTATTCAGTACATTCATGTTTCAGTTATAAATGTTTTATTTTCGCGTTTTAAAAAATGATAAGTTATGATTTGATCAAAAATTTGTTTCTTATAGTTATTTGTTTCCAAAATGTAATAAAATTGTTCTCGTTTATAGGAATAGTATTTTTCCATTAATCTTTTTCATTAATATTTTCTTGTATATATAAATAATTTAATCATCAATATATTTTTTCCCGTATAAATAT